GTCTACTTTTTTCTCTAGCTTTTTTTAGTCTTTTATAAAATTTTCCGTTTTTTCTTTATTATTACTTATTCCTTCATAAAATAACCTTATCACTACTTTTTCCAAACTTTTGACAATATCCCCTTCAACGTCTTTCAAGTATTTCTGGTAAATTTTTTCGTATTCTAGTAGCTTTACTTCTAAAACAGGCACGTATTTCATCTCGTCACTCAATTTAATACATTCTGCAATTATTTTTCCCTTAATATTTCTGGCTATAAAGTTTCTAAACAATAATTCTTCCTCCATATCTTGGAGGGGTATTCAGCTATTTCTGTTCTGTTGTATTTCTGCTTCTCCTCATTCAAGCGTCAACCATTTATTTCCATTTTGTAGGCATTTTAAAATACTCCGGCTTTAACAATGGTACCTGTACGTCATCTAATCTACTGATAATGTCAGCGGCGCTTATCTGGCACTGATATGGCAAGTATCCTACCCTATGATTTCTCCTACATCAATTGGAAAGTTATGGGGGACGACATGTAGTATGCACTTAATCTGTGCAGTTGATTTTGTACCGTGCACAATGTTTTGCGTGCTCTCTGGATCAAGTTGAGAAAAGCTACCCGATATCTACTATTCATAAGCATGTCAGTGCTAAGAAAATTTCCTTTAGAATCCCAATCCCTGCACCTGTATCCGCATAAAAAGTTGCCTTTATATTCTTTATTATTCTTTAACTGAGGGGCCCGTAACTGGATCGATGGTGGTCTATGCTATCCTATTTCTTGGTCACATTCTGAAAGCTTGTGTTCGTTATTATCTTCATGTGTGTCCGATGTCTTTGTCTGATTACCCTTTTTACGGGCTTTCCTACCTTTTCTGGTGCGTTTGCCGTTCAACTGAGTAGGACTATCCTTGTACTCTGCTGTAGTATCTGCTGTAGTTCTATTTTTCCCTGCATTGAGTAAATACTCAGGCTGTTGTGGTTGGTTTCTACTTTTACTATTTTGGCTCCATCGTCTGCGGCTCCTCTATCGCACATTCTTCCTCGCCAGACACGCTTCTCTCTGTATCTCTCTTTGTCTTTAGTTCATTTTTGATATGGGCCCCTATCCTGTAGCGGCCCATGCGTAATATAATCCCTGTTATAGCCGTCTCTGGTATCTTGATTTTTGTAGCCGTTTCAATACGGTCAAATGTGCCTTTGCTGTTATTACTGTACAAATCACCATTGCTACGGTTGCCATAATAATGATTACCTCTGGAGTTGTAATTATTATACCTGTCGTTATAATTATTTTTCCTCTTATGTGGCTCTATTGAGTCATTGTTATAACCCCTGTATTAAGTATTGTAATTACTTTTATTGAAATTATCATTCCTGTCCCTATAATTATCGGTGTTTCTGTTAGTCGAGTTATTATTCACGGATTGATTACGCTCTTCGTTTTGCTGTCTCTCCTCTTCTTCTTTATCTTGCTTGCGTGAGCGGCAGTCTCTCACGTAGTCTCCTAGTCTCTGACAATAATTGCGATATCTTTTCAGTTCTTTTCTGTAGTCTCTCCAAGCTTCTCTGTCGTTTATCAACGCAAGTAGTTTTCGACCTTTCTCAATCAGATGCTCGGTTCAGCCATCGCAGTATATACAGCGTTTTTCGTTTGCTGCTGATGCTGTTGCTAATGCTCCTTGTGCCCCACTACTGCTCTCTGTCGTGTTTTTTTCTTTCCTTGTCAGTTTTACTAGTGGTTCCCACTCGGTTGTTGCATTATTGTACGTAGGCCGGGCACTTGTACTTACTGGTATTCTATGGCGTAAACTGAGGTCGCTTTCAATTTTTTATTCTTCTATTATTGCTTTACAAAGGGTCCCTGAATTTAAACCTGTAATTTTAAGCCTAAATATTGGGTGCACATCATAAGTGAATTGTTTCACTTTTACACTTTCATTTAACACTTGATTTAGAATAGGCAATAAGATTGGGTTTGAACCATGCAGCATCTTCAGTCTATTACACGGATGTTGCACCCTCCTGCCGTATTTAGTATTGGCTTATTATTTTGTTGTTTGAGTATTTTAAATTTTTTCATTATAGTATTTAAGTTATTTATGCTTCCGTACCTATTCGAAAGTTCACAAAAAAATTCTTAAACCGTTCTTAACTGGGCTAATTTTGGCATGAAACGCTTGGCTGCTTTTTTTCTAACCTGCTTGCGATGATGCCGAGAAAAAATGATTTGTTTTCTGGGTCTACTATTTGCACAATTGTTTTCACTACTTCTTTCAATGGTGACAAAATGATTGGGTCACCGTAAAAAAATGAGATATTATTTGTCATGTGGCTGAGTGATGTTAGAGTGTCATGTTGTGATCTTTGCGTATCGCGCTACGTATAAGCACTTTCTCCATATAACTGTGAGTTTAAAAATATATTTTCCCTCTGCCCTTGCTCGTGTGGTTGCAGTTCAGTCCAAGTGGGTTTGTCTTTATAAGTGGGACGAACCTCTGCCGTAAATACCACCTTTTTCATCCACTTTAGCTCCTCACTTATCTCTTCAATACCGTTGTCTAGGTAGCGTCTTCCATTATTTTCCGCCATTCCCTAATTTCTCTTTATTTTTTCTGTGATTGTTGATGATTTATCTAGTAGATTATCTGTTTTTTTNAATTTGTATCAGTCTGCCTACAGCGCGTACAGCTGAAGCAAACTCACTATACACATTTGCCGTAATATATAAGAAGGCTAGACGCTCGACACCGTTTATTTTAAGCCGCACTCTAAAGTTTGTAAAATAGTGTGTAAATAAATAGTTTGTTACTTCCATTTTTAAATTAGAGTTCGTGTCCTTTTGTTACTGCTGCTTCATGTATTCTAGGGCTCATAAAGATCAAGTATTCACTGACCACATCTAAGTTACTGTCTCAAGCTGTTAAAGCTCAATTACGCCACCTCCGATATACGGTTCACTACAGTAAGTATCAAAAATGTACACCAACAGAGAACTGCGACTTAATAATTAAAATATTAAAATTTTACTTAATTTCTTTTATGTTGGGCACCATAGAGATCTGAAAAAGTATGTAACACAAGAGTCAAGTGCTAATTGTAAAGTAGGCGTGACCTTACAAAATCTGCTGTTTAAAATAATTTGTGATACTTCAGGAGGTTTGTGTTTAATGCAATTGCAACTAAATTATCAAATTACTTTGATGCAATCGAAAATTATGACATCTATCGTAAAGTGATTAAATACCACTTGGAGAAAGTGGCATCAAAAGCAAATGCCAACAGCTCCTAAGAACTTAACAGTATAAACAATTAAGATTATTTTTTTAAACATTTCATCGTTGAGTGAATTGCGTCTTAACCCTCTTAAGCCTGTTTTTCTAGCGCAATTTTCTTTCAGATGCCCGGCCTCTGAATTTTAAACTGTCATAATCTCGCGGCACTATACTGCGTGTGCATCTCGATGAAATTTTATTTTTCCCAAACGAAAAAAAAAAAAAAAAAAAAAAAAAATTACCCCATACCTAGCACCAAATCTGTTACGTCAGAAAGATATTAATAAGGAGGTGCATCGCAAGAACGATCAGCGATTATCACGTTTAAAAACCTTATTCAAGATATCGGTTTCATAAGGCAAAGTCGCGCGTGTGTCCCCTTTCGAGGTTCGTTGTGTACTTTCTCGGAAGCCTCTTTCTTTGCGCACTCTTCTCTTCTCTTGGCCCTGAGGCTCCTTGTTTCGAAATGCAAGGAGAGGGCGCCCAGAGTCTTACTTATTCTTCCGTACGTTACACCACGCTATATACAAACAATTTTTGCTACAAGAAATGAAATTGTCAATTGATATTTTATATAGCAATGTTTATCCTAAACCTCGTCACCCTTAAATGAAAAAAATTTGTTTTTTGTAAGTATAATTTTGAAACTTGCGATCTGGTCTTTACTTAACTTTTCATACATTGAATCAAATATTTAAGTCAAAAAAAGTTTTTTTTAGCAATTTTGTTACCTCTTTTTATATAAATTTCTGTTGATGTAAATGAACTAAAATTCTCACATTATTTGTCTTCTAATTCTAGACGTTTCAAAATAGTTGAAACAATTAAGGTTGTATATGAAGAATATAGCTTATTATTTTTGGTAACTAAAATAAAAATCTTGTGATCAAAAAGTATTTTCAAATTTTCTCATAAATTTATATTCAAGTATCTTATAAATTTAGACTATTTCTTCTTCATCTTCGATCTACTTTACAAAGATTTTCGTAGTCTTTTATATTCAAAAGGCATATTGAGTGAGTTAAGTTTTTAACGAGGCTAGTACATTTATGTTGCTATATTATACAACGATTTCAGAGGATCATTCCACACAACCTTCTATTCTCCCTTCGAACGCTCATTTAAAAAAGGTAAATTTTTTCTTGTTTTTATGTTATTTTTGTTGTGTTAAATTTTTGTTTGCCCTTTCTAAGTCCCCTCACAATTTTCAAGAAACTTTAAGTCCTTTTACACCCACTTAGTATTTTCGTACGTCTCATGTTTGCTACTTTTGTTTATCCCTCTCAGAACTGCATTTGCAAATCTTGGCATAAGGTGAAATTTTTTTCATTTTTATTGTTAATTCAATGGAGTTAAATTTTTGTTCTCGCTTTTCACAGCTCTTCTATCCGACTTTTTAGCCACACCATATCGTTTCTCATATCAATGTAATATTTGTTTAATCCATATAATTTGTTAGCATGTTTCTACACCACCTTTAAAATAGTGTTATATTATGTTATATAGCACACTGTTTTTTTCTTAAACTATCAATGAGTTTGTTTATTGCATTACTAAATACATGTAAGAGTATACGCTATCATCGTTTTTGAATTCTTAATAAAAACACTAGTTAAAACTGTTTTGCATTTCCCTTTCGTTCTTTACATGGCATAAATTGTGATAATTATAAAACATCAATCAAATGTGCAAACTTTGGTCCAAATTTTTACGATGTATTTTGTAGTGATACGTACCACTGGTTGAAACATTGGAACGTAAAGTGAAACGTAACTTGATCCAAAAAGACAACCAAAAATCAATAAGGTACTGAAAATAATCGCTTTTTTTGAATATCGTTCCTTCAAACCAATGTCACATCTATCTTCTCCCAGCATATCGATATCAAAATGAACCTAGGGTCAGACAAAATATATTAAAATACATACTCAATTATGATATATTGCACAGGGCAATTTTTAAATATCAAATTAAATTACTGCAATTATATACTGTTTTTCTTATAATAAAGCTTAAAAAGATTCTGAATATTCAAAATTTTAAGATTTAAGTGAATTTTAGTCCAATTTGTTCATTTAGCTATATACTTTTAAATTCTCATAGCTGATCGCTATATTTTTTCATTTGTACCTTTATTTCAGTAACATGTTCTATGAACTCTGTTATACTACATGTAAACAAAGACTTCCTCCAACGTTAACAGGAATGTTCATCTTATCAAAGTTCCTTATTTAATTATTAAATTATTTTAAATTAAGTTTACTTCTACGAGTATATTTACTACCCTTAATACAAAGACATACATCCAGTTGCGCGCTGACCTTTTAAATGAATTTGTATCAGTCTGCCTACAGCGCGTACAGCTGAAGCAAACTCACTATACACATTTGCCGTAATATATAAGAAGGCTAGACGCTCGACACCGTTTATTTTAAGCCGCACTCTAAAGTTTGTAAAATAGTGTGTAAATAAATAGTTTGTTACTTCCATTTTTAAATTAGAGTTCGTGTCCTTTTGTTACTGCTGCTTCATGTATTCTAGGGCTCATAAAGATCAAGTATTCACTGACCACATCTAAGTTACTGTCTCAAGCTGTTAAAGCTCAATTACGCCACCTCCGATATACGGTTCACTACAGTAAGTATCAAAAATGTACACCAACAGAGAACTGCGACTTAATAATTAAAATATTAAAATTTTACTTAATTTCTTTTATGTTGGGCACCATAGAGATCTGAAAAAGTATGTAACACAAGAGTCAAGTGCTAATTGTAAAGTAGGCGTGACCTTACAAAATCTGCTGTTTAAAATAATTTGTGATACTTCAGGAGGTTTGTGTTTAATGCAATTGCAACTAAATTATCAAATTACTTTGATGCAATCGAAAATTATGACATCTATCGTAAAGTGATTAAATACCACTTGGAGAAAGTGGCATCAAAAGCAAATGCCAACAGCTCCTAAGAACTTAACAGTATAAACAATTAAGATAATTTAAAAGTATGCTCACAATAGTAAGACACAGATACACTCCAAAACTTTTTAATTGCATAATTGTACCTTTTATTATTGATTAAAAGATATAGGTTGTTAAAAAATTGCGTTAAATTATAATATTTTTACGATTGTTGGTGAAGTCATCAAGCTTTATCAGATTAAAAGGACTTCATTTGTTATTCAACGTGTATCAACCGTACATCACTTCAATTACTTAAGTAATCTATAACACCTGTACATGTAAGACATTTATTCTTACCTACTTTTAATCTAATTATGTTATTTTATTTCTTAGATTTTTTAACAAATCCCAAACTTAGTCAGGGGAACTCAGACTGAAAAAAAGACACCTAATGATATAGAACAACTTTTTTTGCGAAGGACAAAACTCCATTAAAATAAGTCATGAGGCTCAAGGACTATGCCTCAAATTCGCTTAAACCAACTGAACTATGCTCAGTTACGCTGGTACAGATGTTTTGTTTGTTTTAAAAAATCGAATTTATTTACGTACAAAACTTTTTTTTACAAAACTGTATCTTTTCTTTAGAAGCAGGCAAAAGTTTTGTGGGATTTATAAGTGTTATAAAACAATACAAGTAAATAATTTTAAACGTTTAAATACGTATTTATATAACATTGTCTTGCGCTTGCAAGAGAAGTATCAACTCAACCTAACTTCATACGTGCCAAAATTGCATGGGTCAGGAAGTCATACAGTTACTTAATGTGGATAAAAAAAAAAAAAAAAAAAAAAAAAACCAGACGTGTGGCAATCAGGGACAGCTGCGGTAAAGCTATTGCATAGCATTTTTTATTAACTTATGAAATTATGATTTTTTATTAATTTTTTATTTATGCAGGATATTTTTTTACTTTGATATTCATTCAAGTTACACTTTTGAAGCGTGGTGATTGGCAAGAAAAGTTTTCACAGCTTGTAAAACAGTCAAAGATAGTCAATTTTAACCACCAGAAAGAATGATCGATTAATGTTTGACACGTCAATACTACAAGAATAAGAAAATCGCAAAATCTAATGTCATTAAAGATTTATTGTAAAAAATATGATTGAATGTTCCAAATCTTTTCTTGTAGCCTTACCAGTAGCATCATAATCCAATAGTTACACAAATTAAAGATGTCACACTTGTACGTAGTTTACTAATAAAAAATAATAATAATAATAAATTACTTAATTTAACAAAATATTACTGCGGATTATAACACTGATAATTTCGATATTTAACCTGAAATGTAAGTATACTTACCTGTATACTTGGAACCATCAAATCTTATGGCATCACTTGCACACTGTTAATTTTTTACGCAATCTCTTTTCGCCGTGTATATCAGTAGACCATGCAATTCAACTTTTTTAGCGGAGAAATATTATCAAGCCACAAGGACGTTTGGACAAAATAATTCTTATTCACTGCGTTATAAGAACTTACAGCAAATTGATATTCACAATGATATAAAAATGTTTTTTAATTTATGACGTAGAAGACTCAAACGGAAAATTAATTAACAATTGATTAATTAATTACCAGCGTGAATGCTAATATTCCAATCGATCGGGTTACGGGATTACCCAATTAATCACATTTACATTATATTTATAAGGGTTTCTTTTTTTAAATCGCGCGCCACCTACTTAGCGATGCCTGGCGTTAGTTTCAGTGACGATAAGCTGACACGATCACGTTTAGTTTTCTTCCGCAGTCGAAAACACTGCCACACTCACTGCAAGTTCTCCATTGTGGCATTATAAAGATATGATGGATCCCTAAACACCTATATATACTTTCTCACAAACAGCTGCTTACATATTCATCCGATTTCGGAGCAGCTCGTCTCGATTCGTGCGAGATTCGTACAGTCGTACCATATACATACACGTTAAGCAAACGTTGAGCTACATGGTATGCGGAGTGGGGGGTGTTAGGTTTTATTTTCGTTCCGGAATTTCTTGATTTGGTCACCGCACTCAAGGCCCGCAATAAAAGCTATGCAATAGCTTAAAAATTGTATACTATATGTTAGAAAAAAAATAAAATAATCATACGTATATTGATGTTGAATGGGACAGCATATTACGCCACAAGGAACAAGAGTACGGCATCCCTGAGTGTATACGATGCAAATGACCAAGAGTTGATGCTGCATTTTTGTCTCGTGTACTATATGACTTCTTACCTTCCTCCGTTGAAATATTTTTTTTTACGATTTTAAAATCGAGAGCGCACTATAAGTTTTCAGGCACAACTCACATTCTTTGCTAAGTAAAAAAGTTTTTTGGCAGAATCTGCATTGAAATTGCCTCGCCAGCAGTATCTAAAGGTAGCGAATACGCAGATTTTGGCAAAAATACTTCTTTAACTGCGCCGAAACAAGGAAATTTCGTTCCGTACAGCTGGATTGGTGAGAAATTGTATACGCACCAACCACGTCCAGAGGTTCAGAAACGTATTAGATTTCACGTTAACCACCCTCAGCTTCGCCTCAGGCGTTTATTTACGACAAATCTAAGAGATTTCTAACCTCACTCACTAGATGCATAGTATACCATTATATGAGTAGAGGTTGCAAGTTTTCACTCACGAAGCATGTAGCGCTTTCGTTTTTGAAATCATGGAAGAAAAGTCGTCTTTTGTCGGGAGTTTGGTAAAAAAATTTTTTTTTTTATTATACATCTGGTACGTAGATAAGTATCAAGTACTAAAAATACATCCAAAATTAGTTGCTTCGTACCTGTATGACAAGGTTCAAGGCCAGTAAAGCTCCTGGTCTTGGGGTGATTTTTTGCCGGGATATGGAGCACATCAGGTTGGGGAAAGAACGATGGGCAATGAAGGGGCACCGTAGTAGGTGTTAAAATAAAATGACACACAATACTGCACTTATTTTAAACAACAATAAACACAACCAAATTACTTTATTCAAGCAAATAATAAAAGGTATTAAATGACCTAGAAATCATTATTGAGCGTATGGGTTCGAATCACTTGAAAATAGAATTAGAAAACAATCGCAGCAGATGAGAACTATTAAACTAGTTGTGAACAGCGTGGTAAGTAATAAAACTGAATTTACAGTGGTGTTCAAATAACCGAAAAGAAAAAGATGGCAGAGTTATGCCGGTATACGCGTGGGCAGCGCAACACGTGAAAAGGAGCTGCAGGAGCAAAGACGATGAAACACGTCTGTCCGCTAGCCAAGTACGAAGGAGACTGACCCGCACATCGCGTGTATCAGTGCACACGTTGCGCAGAGCTACACTCTAACCCATGCATACACACACGCATACATCTAGTCCTATAGTCACACGCTTGAGATTCCTAAATACAATGCAGTTAGCTAAGGCGGTCTATATTTCGTTTAATGCGCCCAACAAAACCCGATAAAGACCTTGAATTTTAAACATTCCCCCGGGTTGGTATGTCTGAGTATAATGACAGAAAGACAGACCAAGTAGAAGATAACGAAAAATCAAACTTATTAACAGTTACAAACAAAAATGATAATTATGTTAGTTACTTCAATTCTACAAATTCCCAGGGTAGAAGTGAGGGCATTTTCTTTAACGGGCAGCACACCAAGTATGTGATTTGTTTTTAGTGTTATATCTTACTACATAATAAAAAATAATAATTGTAAAATGTAATCAAGGAAGCCCATATTAATATCACCTTTTAATAAACTTATGAGAATATGTGGATTTAAAAGATTTAAAGAAGGCTGTCCTTTTACAAATAACGAAGCTTGCTAACTATTAACATCAAACTCCTCGGCCGGTAGAACTAGCGCGAGATTGACCACTGGTCGAGTGAGAGTAGAGGTAGCGGTACGGACTTCGACAACTCTAACAGATTCATTTGATCCTGCGAATACCTGA